TGCAGAGGCGAACGACTTGATCCCATAAGAGTAGTAGAAGAAAATACCCCGCTCGCGAATCATACGTGCGATGCGGTCAAATATAAATTTAAGGAATCGCCCCGCTCGCGGATCATACTTGCGACACGATCAAATATAAATTTAACACTAAAAATTATATCTCTTTCTTGATTCTTTTCAAAATAAGGGAAATTCAGCTTGTAGCTTTTTAAGGAAATTACCCCGCAGGCGAAATATACATGCGACGCAATTACACATAGATTTCTTACGCTATTATAATATTCCTCAATTCCTTTCGAAATTACGAAATTCAAATGAAACCTTTTAAATCTTATATTCTTCAATTTCACTCCCTTCAAATCATTTAATAAGCAAACTCAATCTCGCTCCCTCTCAAGGCAAGCAATAAACATAATAACAATATCAACAAGGTATGATGTGAGCCTAAAACTACCCGGACATAGGCATAGCTAGTAGCTACATACGGACTCTCGTCACCTCGTGCGCACGTAGCCCTCCCCCCCCCCTACCCACAAATAGAAGCACACAATAATTTAGTTCACCTGTGGGGTTAATTTCCTCTTACAAGGTTAGAAAGGAGACTTACCTCGTTCCGAAGTTCCATAACCGGCTCCAACGCCACTCTAGCACCTCAAACCGATGCCCAACGCTCCAAAACTAGCCAAACAATGCGCAAACCAATGAAAAATATTCTAATACTCATAACAAATTCTATTTACAACAAGTCCCAACTCCGCTCGGAAAGTCGATAAAATCGCTCTTGGACCCACTTGCCCGGATTCCAAAAATATTCGAAGATAAAGAGGGTGTTTGGATTGGCTTATTTTAAGTGCTTATTGGCTTTTAAGCACTTTGTTAGTTTGTGTGGTGTTTGGCAATAATAAAAAGTGCTTAAAAGCACTTACTTTTAGGCATAAAAAGTACAAAAATAAGTCAAAAGCCAAAAGTTGGGTATTACCAATTTATGGCTTTTGGCTTTTAGCTTAAAAGGTACTTTTTATAAGCCAATCCAAACACCCTCAAACTTTACCCACAACCCCACGAACTCAAATATATGATTTATTCTCAATTCCATGCCCAAATTCGTGGTCAAAATCTGAAAATACCAATTTCTAGGTTTTTCTTCAAAATACCAAATTTCCACTAATTCCTCATGATTTCTATGTTAACATCTAGATATAATCCAAGTATTTAACTTACAATAGGTGGGACTAACTTACCTCCAAGTTGCTAGGTGGAAACCCTTCTCAAGAAGCTCCAAAAATCGCCCAAGAATGGAGAAATGAGCAAAAATGGCCAAACCCCGCTATTTTATGCATTCTGCCCAGCTACCTCCGCACCTGCGGTCTCCTCGCCCGCTTTCGCGCATTTGCTTCTGCAGTGCCTCCTTCGCACTTGCGCCCATTTCCGCTTCTGCAGCCTCCACCTTCGCACATGCACGCCTGCAGGTGCACCCAAACGTCCGCTTCTGCAGCCTCCACCTTTGCACGTGCGCGCCCGCAGGTGCGCCCAAACGTCCGCTCCTGCAACTCCCCCAGCTCCAGTCCAATTCCGCTTCTGCGAGCTACACGCCGCACCCATGAATCTCGCACCTACAGCTAAATTCACGTAGGTGCGATTACACCAGAAGCATTAAGCTTCAGAAATTCTTAAGTCCAAGAATCGATCTGTTAACTTTTCGGAATTCACCCGAGGCCCTCAGGACCTTAACCAATTACACCAACATGTCCCAAAACATGATACGAACTTGCTCGATGCCTCAAATCACATCAAACAACATCACAAATTATGAATTACATCCCAAATCAAGCTTAATGAACTTTATAACTTCAAACTTCTATATTTGATGCCTAAACCTATCAAATCACGTCCGATTGATCTCAAATTTTGCACACAAGCCACACTCGACATTACGGACCTACTCCAACTTCCGGAATAGGAATCCGACCCCAATATCAAAAAGTCCACTTATGGTCAAATTCCTCAAAAACCTTCAAATTTCTAAGTTCCGCGAAATGACCCAAAATGACCTATGGACCTCCAAATCCACTTCCGGATGCGCTCCCAATACCAAAATCACCATACGCAGCTATTCCCATCCTCGGAATTCCAAACAGACATCGATAACATTGAAATGCACTTCAACCCAAATTTATGAAATTCTTCCAAAATGCTAACTTCCACAATAGGCGCCGAAATGCTCCCGGGTCATCCAAAACCTTACCTGAACATACGCCCAAGTCCGAAATCATCATACAAACCTACTGGAACCTTCAAATCCCGATTCCGAGGTCGTTTACTCAAAAACTCCATCTTAGTCAATTCTTCCAACTTAAGGCTTTCGAAATGAAAATTCTCTTTCCAAATCAACTTCGAACTCCCTAAATCTCAATTCCGACTACACGTACAAGTCATAATACCTGAAGTGAAGCTGCTCATGGCCTCAAACTGCTGAATTACACGCTAGATCTCAAAGCGACTGTTCGGGTCGTTATAGAGGTAGGCCTAAGAAGTCTCGGGGCGAGGTTATTAGGCGGGACATGGCGCAACTAGAGCTGACTGAGGACATGGCTCTGATAGGAGGGTATGGAGGTCAAGGATTAGGGTAGAAGGCTAGTAGGTAGTCGAGGGCATCTCTTTGTCTTTCCCAGTTCGCTAGCATTAGTGTTAGTATGATTCACATATTGCTACACTACCATAGTTTAACTGCTTTCTTGGCTTCAGTATTTTTTATCTTGTTGATATTTCTTCTTGTTGCCAGTACTTTTGTCATCCATTATCCAGCTGAGGGTCTATCGGTAACAACCTCTCTGTCCTTCTAGGGTAGGGGTAAGGCTGCGTACATCTTACTCTACCTAGACCCCACTTGTAAAAAATTACTGGGCTTGTTGTTGTTGTTGTATAAAATAAACTAAGTAAAGACAAGAGGAATATATCGCGGAGAAATATTAATCACTGGGACTTAAGAATAAAATTTATTAGAAGATTAAGTATTGAAGTGATAAAAATTTAAATCATGCGAGAGAAAAAATATCCAATACCATATTATTTGCTAGTTAAGATCATTGGAATGCCTTGTGCCTTGCTACTTAATATGCGATATCTAATTTAATTTCAATTGGAGTACCAAAGTAGATTTAGGAGTTAGTACTTTATGTGTTTAATTATATGTTGGTTTGTATCTGCTTGTATATTTTTAAGGCGTTAGGAAAAAATAAATGGTTTGCTATTTTTAAATATAATATGCGAAGTATATTTTTGTAATATATTTATAGATATAGTTCGATATTTTTATAAGATTAAAAACTTATCTTATTATTTAATACGATTATAATTTTAGTTAAAAAAAACTTATGATTTTATTATAGGAAATTTAATAATCGATTTTTTCTCTATTTAAAGTTGGAGATAGACGGGTATTCTTACACAGAATTCTTGCTCTAGCATGCCCAAACCGTTAAACATAGAGAATTTAAAGATCTACACACACCTCAGCACCCGAGTTCCAACCTTCCAAGTCCGGATTGAGAAATTTCGGAAAAAAAGTGGGAAGTAAATTCAAGTAAAAAGGGTATTTGAAAATTAGAGTTGTGTTTGTACATGAATACAATTTAGAGTTGTTTATGAATTTTGAGTGATTTGATGAGAAACAGCTTTCTAGAGTTTTTTAAATTTTTAGAAATTCTGATATTTAAATTTGAAATAAAAAAACTGAAAAACTTGGGGACCTTAATTGCTCCTGTACGTACTCAACATGTGTCTACGGAAGTGTTTGGTAAAAAAGAAAACAGCTTAAAAAAAGTTAAAATTGGCTTAAAAAAAGCCAAAAGTCACAAGTTGGCTGATCCCAACTTTTTTTTTTCCAGCTTAAAAGCCAACTATATTTGACCAAGTATTTTACCCTCTTGTCCCTAATAATATTTAGTATTCCAAAAATGTCCGTCACAAACTTTTGAAATAATTATAATATCCCACTCAAACTTTTAAAATTTGTCAGAACGTGAACTTTGAAGTTTAGCTTTGCTTTGAAAGGTGAATACGACATTTACCTAATGAAGTTTTCTTACTAAATAACTAAAATATGAGATAGGAAATAGGACTCCTAAACCTAAAAAGAAGGAAAAATAGTCCTAAATATTAGTATAAAAATGATTAAACATTTATTTATATAATAATCATATGTAAATCTTTATAAAAAAAATTATAAATTAATAAAATTGATATACATGCGAAGTCATAACAGACAAAGCTTGCTAAACATACTTAACTTTAAAATCTCTTACATAGATTGTAGTATTGTACTTGTGTTTGATCTTTTTTTCTAAGAATTTAAACTCGGGTGCGACCAACAATTCTAGTTGCATTCTAATTTCTAATTAACTATACGTACAATTTTCAAATAATTTTAAAAAGTACAAGTTTATTTTATTTTGATTTCCTAAATATTAGGAATTTTTACATAGTTCAAATAAGGAATAGAATAATAAAATGTGATAGTTATTTCATATGTTTTCCCAGTAAGTTTGGAATATCAAGAAATAAATAAAAAATTTATATGGTTAAAAGAAGTGTAAAATAAGAGTTCAACAATTATATTTATAATGGTACTTTTATCAATCTGATTTATTTCGTACCTTTCGTTCAATGAGAAAATGGGTCAAATTCTACAGGATCAAACCTATGGGACTTAAGGAATGATATAAAATTATCTTAGGTGATCAGTTCAAATATTAATTATTTCGTATTTATATTAATAAGTTTGAAATAAAATATTATAGTAATAAGCTTTTTATAGTGTTAACAGCTTTAAGGATATTTCAGTCATTTTAATAGAAAAAGTGCTTACCAGCACTTGTTTACCAAATATTTCAACAGCTTTTTGTCAGCTCCACCACTTTTATCCAAACACATAACTGCTTATTTATAAAATCAGCTCCGACACTTAAAAAATGCTTTTAAGCCCTAAAGCCACTTTTTTTTAAGCCAATCCAAACGGGCCCTAAATTCTCTCAGTTTTCAACCATCTATATCTTCCCCTTTCATTTTCAATTCTTCGCAATCGGCAAAATCCTTTGTCTTCGTCATGTATTAAGCCATGAATCTCTCTCTCTCCGTCTTTCTCTTTCTAACATCACCGCCGCTTCATTTTTCTCTCCATCTAGGGTTTTGAAATTTTGAGGTTTCTTTTTTTGTTGTTGTTGAAGAATCATAGCATTTCTACTTGTATACTAGGGTTTTCCAGTTCGCTTTACGGTATAAAGCAGGTTTGAATTCTTCTCCTTCCTTTTCGTTTTTAGCTAATTTGAGTTTATTTTTATTTTTGGACTAATTATTTGTATGCATTTTTATCAGCTCTTTTTTTTAAAATGTTTTTTTATGAGATTTGGTAACTGGTTAATCTACAGTTTTGGAGTTAGGTTAATCTTAATCATACCTTATGTTTTTTGTATGCTCCGTGCAGTTGTATGCAATGTGTTGGTGTGGAGTTGATTTTGATTAGTTTTTCCTCTCTCGAAGTTTTAGTTTTTATAGTGACTGACACTGATATATTTGGGGAGCATGTGCTGTTTGATTATTATTTTTTGAGCTTAATACGAAATCGTTTATCTGTTATTTGTTGTTAGTGTTGTTTTTGAAAGATATCAGAGTAATGGCTTAATCCAAATTCATTTTATTTGTTATTTTCTGTTCTATCCTTGTTCAATTGCTTTTGTTTCTTGCACTTTTCTGTCTAAATTCATAGTGTAGCTTTGAAATTGAGACTGATATTCGCGATGATAGCTTCTTTTTTGGCTGCATTTGTCCGATATATTTTTGAGGAGCACGTGCTGTTTGTTTGTCATTTTGCTGTCCTGAATGTCTTAATTGTGTCCGGGTTTGATTGGGCTTTTACAGGGTTTCTGAAATAGAATTGGTTTGTTACACTTGTTGGGGTTTCTGTTGGCGTCGGTGTACAGGAACGTTCTTTGTCAATCTGATGACGTAGTTCACAAGTCATTTATTATTTGGAATATTGCATTTATAACTACTGGTGTTTTGTGTGCGGTGGTAGAATCCCGTGGGGATTTGGTGCTATAAACATAATGTGCATGGTTATGCTGAATTGTTAAATGTGGAGAATTCATTAAGAAATACTCCCTCTTCTTAATTTGGTTTGGCGGTATTTGTCTAGATGCGGAGTTTAAGAAAGAAAAGACTTCTGATATAAGCCTCAAGTGCCTTTGGTACCAAAATTTTCTTTTTTGTGTTTAGTGGGATCTAGAACACGTCATGTCAATGGTAAAATAGGAATGTGATAATTATTAGATTGTAATAAGGTGCCAATCTTTTTGAGATAGACAATAAAGGAAAAAGTGCCAAACAAGTTGGCACAGGGAGTATTAAAATTGGTATTGAGATTTTAAATATTTAACCAGTTCTTAGGATTAATTTGTGTTGAATTTGATCGGTGTTCTTCGACAAGTTTCATGTTATAGGAGGTTGTTCTTTCTATGCTTGGATGATGCCATTGTGCTTTCAGTAACTTGGTTATTGCACTTAATACCATTGATCCTTTGAATGTAACGGTGATGGTCTTCCTTGTTCCGAAACACATGGGATTTCATTCTATAGATTAAGGTTTTCAACTGGCACATCTATAGTATGTATGATTGCCCACCAAGTAGAAGGGGCACATCATTTATAATGATTAATGATGGCTTAATTTGGATTTGGTGCATGTACTCTTTAATGCTCGTGTGATTGAGATGATTTTCTGGTTGTATATACTTGCTGCTTGTACACCTGAAACCAAATGAATGGGATTTGAGGATGGAACACTGGAAGTTTGTAGGAAGCGAATTTTATAAATGTAATCAAACAAACAGATCAACCTGGTGGAGATCACAGTTGTCAAATATGAATAAGTGATTTTTTTCCGTGGCTTGCTTATTTTTGAGGAGAGGATGAAAGATATGTATCGACTCTGATGCACATCTTTTAAGGTAGATTGTTCTTTTATTGGTTTGGTTTGCCCGTGATCATTTTCTCTATGGCCTTTTCTAGTAGTTTCGGTGATGGAAATATCTTCAAAAGGTTGACTTCTATTTGGTCAGTTCAATCGAAAGCAGGTTGAGGTGGTTGGTTTTCTTTATTAGTTTATGATTTAGAACCAAGTTCGCAAGTTATTTCCAGGAGAGAGAGAGAGTTTCAAGTTTCTGGGATCTATAATTCAGAAGGATGGGGAGATAGATGAGGATGTCACACACCGTATCAGAGCAGGGTGAATGACGCTTCCGGTGTCTTGTGTGATAAGAATGTGCCGTTGAGACTTAAGGGTAAGTTCTACAAGGTAGTGGTTAGACCGACTATGTTGTATGGGGCAGAGTGTTGGCCAGTCAAAAACTCCCATGTCCAGCAGATGAAAGTAGCGGAAATGAGGATGCTGAGATGGATGTGTAGGCATGCTAGATTGGATAGAATTAGGAATGAAGTTATTCGGGACAAGGTGAGAGTGGCCCCTATGGAGGCAAAGATGTGTGAGGCGAGGTTGAGATGGTTCGGGCATGTTAAGAGGAGAAGCACAGATGCCCCTGTCAGGAGATGTGAGAGGTTGGCCTTGGGAGGTAAGAGGAGGGGTAGAGGTAGGCCAAAGAAGTCTTGGGGAGAGGTGATCAGGCGGGACATGGCGCAACTTGAGCTAACCGAGAACATGACCCTAGATAGAATGGTGTGGAGGTTGAAGATTAGGGTAGAAGGTTAGGAGGTAGTCGTGCATTTTCCTTTGTCTTCTCTAGCTCGATAGTATTAGCGCTAGTACGGTACCCTTTTTTCCTTAGTTTGCTATATTCGCATGTCTCGTTCCGTTGTTACTTGCCATCGATAATTCTGTAGTTTGCTAGCAGTACTTCGTTCATATTCTCGTTTGTTGCCTTGGAATTAGTTTTCTAAATATGTTATTTTGCTATTACTTGTTATCGGTACCCTTTTCATATTCTTTGTTGCTATTTCGATTTAGTTTTCTAATTATTGTCTTGCCATTACTTGCTATATCAGGGCTTCTCTCACCTTCTTTAGCCGAGGGTCTATCGAAAACAGTCTCTCCGCCCTCCCAGGGTAGGGGTAAGGCTGCATACATCCTACCCTCCCCAGACCCCACTTGTGGGATTATAAGGGGTGGTTGTTGTTTTTGTTGGTATAGAACCAAGTTAAAATTGGACTTTTATGAGTTGTCTACCACTAATAAGTCAAAGTGGAGCCTCAAGCCAATTCTGTGATATAGTACTTCATCCTTTAGGTGAGTACTGAGTGGGTTCAAAAAGTTGTTCCTGGAAGAACAGATGGAGAAAATGGTTGGAAAATTGTAAATAATGTGAAACGAATCTACTACCTCTGAATCTTGCACAAATTGGATGCACCTTCTCCAATTTTGGGTCAAAACTCAAAACTATTGCAATAAGTCCCTAAACAAACAAAAGCCAAAAAGAAGCAAGAGTAAGAGTCCTTGCCTCGTGAATGTCGTGATATTACTGCAAGGAGCACCATGTGCTGCATCTCATAGAAATATTATTACGTGCTAATACTTTTTGGATTTTAGACCCTAATACTAGCCACATCTTACAGGAGCTCATCAAGAGTTAGATTAGCTTCATAATAGTTGTGCTATTACACTGGATGAACTTCAAATCCAGGTGAGGTCTAGGTTTGCACGCACCAAGTGGAAATTAAATTGAGTGCAGCTGATGGAAGGGGTGGCCACTTGGTTGTAAAAGAATGCTTAATTCTAGTTCGCTTGGTTAAAGGTGGGTGCCCATAACATGCAAATAGGTATTGCCTAAGGAGGTGGAGGGAGAACTTACTTTCTGGGACATTCAGAGGTTGTAGAGTGCATTCATGATACCGGTCTCCATTTATTATCTTTTATTTAACAAATTTGTGTATTGCTGAAATAAAGTAGTTAACAACCTAATAAAAGGTAAAGTTCATGAAATAAATACACTCTCATTCACCATTAAACGGAAGTTTAGTGATGAAGTACATGCACTCTTTACTAAATCTGTCATATGTTTTCTCTTTGTTTGAGTTTCATTCCTCTTAAATGATTCCATTTTCCCAGGATTTTTTCAAACAATCAGTAGGTTTTTAAACCGGAGTTGTTTTAGTTTCGCAGCCATAATTACAGAGAGTGAGTGAAAACATATGCATGTCTTAAGTGAATGTCCCGAAATACAGGACTGCTCAGGCATTGGAGGTTTGTTTCTTTGCCTCTGTTACTTTTGCTGGAAAAGAGCAAGGCTGATTTGTGGCTAAATTAAACATCATGTAGTACATAGCTGTTCCTTTTCTCTTTTTCTACCTAAGGTTTCCTTATTGATAGAGGTTGTATTTCTACTCAACTATAAATAAATTATGGTTTAAGTATAATTTTAAACCTCTTGATTTTCAGTGATTTATGCCCCTCAGTTTTTTAAATATTGACAGATAAGGTAGTGAAAATATTAAAAGTCTCCATCTATTAATAACAATAATATTATTATTATATGGTGGAGATTAGCTTTCTTAATTCAAATTGTAAGATCATACAAAGGTGAGTTGGTAGATTTGATGATATGTTAGGGGAGGAGGGTAGAGACGGACCATAAGATTGTAGTTTTAAATGAAGCGAGACTTTCAACACAATTGAGATCATTCGGAGCTTAAAGAATTTGATGTGCATTTCATAACTTTTATGCCATGTTGAAATTACATTGTTTGAATTTCTTTATAACCATTATCATTTTCGGATTAAGATTTCTAAGTATTTAGCCGTTGGGGGCACCGAGGATATCATAGAGCTAATGTGCAGCTCATTAATAAATAAATGTTGGAATTCCTGGCGAAAAATCACTAAGCACTTGGAAATTTAATGTGTGACAGAAGAATGATTAAGAGTAAAATGTGTTAATGGAGATCTTTTTTTTTGGTTTATTAGATGTAATGGATATTCCCTTTTTTGGAGGGATGATAGTTTTTTTCCATTTTCCTGACCCGGAGATGTACTTGTATGAAAAATGTACCTATTGTTTTGGGTCTTTCCTTGAGCATGTTATTTTTTTTTCCTTCTTTTTAGAAGTTGAAAATCCGTAGTGGTCTTCTATTTATATGAACACATGCTTTGTGTTAATGTATTTAACCATTTATTTATGCAGTACAACTTGCTAAGAGTAAAATGTGTTAATGGAGATCTTTTTTTTTGGTTTATTAGATGTAAAGGATATTCCCTTTTTTGGAGGGATGATAGTTTTTTTCCATTTTCCTGACCCGGAGATGTACTTGTATGAAAAATGTACCTATTGTTTTGGGTCTTTCCTTGAGCATGTTATTTTTTTTCCCTTCTTTTTTAGAAGTTGAAAATCCGTAGTGGTCTTCTATTTATATGAACACATGCTTTGTGTTAATGTATTTAACCATTTATTTATGCAGTACAACTTGCTAATGAATATTACGGTTTGAATAGGATGATGCCTTGTAATTATATTTTATCGTGGAACTAAAGAACCTAGCTTTGTTGCATATAATCTGTACATTTGTGGATATTAAAGGGCAAGGGCTCAAATTAACTTCATAAACGAGGAAGCAAACTACCTGATTTAACGTGCATTTGAGTTCGGTTTCTGATACTCTGCTGCATTAACATTCCTTGTGCAGGATGAAACAAATAGCTCACAAGACTGTTCATGATAGCAGTTAATGGACAAATTGGTTGAAAAATAGGCTGTATTACAGAGTAAATAGCATTTTTTGGTAAATAGAGTTGTAACAAACATATTACAGGTTACTATAAATTTCTCCTCTGATCTTTGGTAGCACAGAAGTATTTTCTGACGTGCTGAAGTTTCAATCCTTTTTATTGATACTTTAAAGTTTTTCGTGGAACCTAGGGTTTCGAGGTTCCTTCAGTTTTTTCTGTCAATGGCTTCTAGCTCTCATAGAGGCGGTGATTTCTACGGTGCTGCTTCCTACAGATCCAGGTATCTATGAAAAACGGGGAAAAAAGTATCGTCTTCTTAAGTTATACTTTGTTATGGTTTGCTTGCACAATTTGAATTGTGATAGAGAAGTGTTGTGTAACAAAAAGTTACCAAAAGCATGACCTAATTAGGAAAAAATTAATAGAAATACATTTTTTGCATTTTTTGGGTTTATTTTTGAGAAATTGAGTTGTTTTCTTTCATTGTTTGATTGATCAGAGATGGATTGAGTACGAGGCAAGTAGGTGGTTCAGATGAGATACAGGTGCGGATTGATCCGATGCACGGGGACCTAGATGACGAGATTACAGGTCTTCGCAAACAAGTAAAACAGCTTAGAAATGTATGCTTACCTATCACCTTGTCTTTGGCTTTATATTTGTATTTTGTATTTTTGCTGGAGGATTTTTTTTTCTTTTCATAACCGGTGGCATCTTTAATATGCATGTACATGTCAAATTTGGTGATGTGTTATGTCATGGATCCATTTCAAATAAGGTGATGTGTTGTCTTTGGACACTGATAATAGTATTTCTTAGAACACCACAGTGAAACTTGTTAGGCATATAGGTTGAAGATAGTTGAAGTCTCTTCTACGAACAAATGAAAGCGTAATGATTATACTGTGTTCGGGATTGAGCGAAACAAGGCAATGTTGCATTCAGGAATGTTGTTCTCTATCCTTTAATTTAGGATTTCATCTTAGAATTGGGAATGGAAATGTATTATGTTTTACCTTTAATTTATCGTATCGTACTGGATTAATAAAGCTGTTCATCAACCCAAGGTTGTTGCCTAGTAGTCAATGAAGTGAGTTCAACCCTTGGAGATCAGGGTTCTAGTCCCAGCAGAAATACAAAAACACTAGGTTATTTATTTCCATATGCCTAAGCCTTGGCGGATGGAAGTACCCAATACTTGTGCCAAATTGGAGGTAGCAAGTACTCGGTTAAATGGCTGAGGTGTGCACAAGTTGGCCACACGCCACTGTTATGAGAAAAATGTTAATTCACTCTTTGGCTTTACGTTCTCACTGGTAAGACTGCGTTGTTTTGGAAACAACACCAACTGCCAAGATATTCTGGTTCCCCCCCCCCCCCCCTAGATATACTTTGCATAAAAGACATTGTATAGGAACTTCTTGTTGGATGGAATCAATTGTTAGATTAAGAAGACATGAAGTTTGACTGTATATGGAGCAAGTACTGACTTATTCCTGGTCACCAATCTTGAAGAAAGGTTGTGTTTTCACACACATGACTCCTTTTTCCGGTGGTTACTTATGTCTATCTTCATTTTTTATATCGGCATATATTGATGCTTTATCATGCTGACATACTTCAACTGGTCTTGAGGTGGATGCTAGAGAGACATCAGCGCTTATTTCTAGGTTGTAAATCTGTCCTAGTGAAATCTGAGAATAGGGGGACCAGTGTCATGTTATCCATATAGTTCATTCACGACAGGCTGAGAGAGAGGTTATCATTCCTATATCCTGTCCGTGGATCCATACAATGTTCCTTATAGGTCATTTTTTTCCAATGTCTCATTTGTCCGCCTTGTCATTTCATCTTTGTTAGGGTTTCAGATTTTTATTCCAACTTACCCTTTGCTAGTACTTATAGATATTTCTTGCTGCAGGTAGCCCAAGAAATTGAGTCTGAAGCAAAGTTTCAGAATGATTTTATTAACCAACTGGTATGCCATGAACTTGTTCCCACCTTGTGGGACTATACTGGGTAGTTGTTGTTGTTGTTGTTATGCCATGAACTTGTTCTCCTTTTCTTCCAAGTATATTTGATATTCTTCAACTCCTTTTGTCACTTTTCCATATATTTATGTACCTTAACAATTAAGTTTTTGTATATTGGAGCTTGTTTTGTGTTTATGTTCCCAAGGCTGGATAACAATCTAACACTCTCTCTCCCTCTATAAATGCTGGGAATTGCAATTGTTATTACTGTAAATATTTTGGAAATGACAATGTACTCGTAGTCTTTGTTTGCTACTGCCAAACCAACCTGCCTGAATGCCTTACGAACTGCCAAACCAACCTGCCTGAATGCCTTTGTTGCTCTATGCTTTTCTTATAGGTTTTCTAGTACTTTGAAAGATACATCCTTGTTAGATCTAATAAAAAGCCCAAACTTGATTCCATTTTCTCTTTTTTTTCTTTGTTCTTGAGGGTAATTTGTGCGGGGATATTGAACTACACACCGCATATGTTCAACTGATTGTGAATCTGTATTTCTAATAGTTATCCCGTCTAGCAAATTGCTGCAATAGATTGCTTCAAGCCGTTAGAAGTAGGAAACTTTCCTATAGTTAGTGTGGCACTGTTTATAAATGTGTTGGTTGGTCGGTCTATCTGAGATTCTCATGATGTATGCTTATTTTATTGATTATGGAATCATTCTTGTAAGTTACATGATTTCCCCGTTTCCTTAAAAACTTGCTCCTCCCATTATCACAGCAAATGACACTGATCAAAGCTCAAGCAGGGGTGAAGAACAATATGAGACGATTGAACAGAAGTATCATCCAGGAAGGATCAAACCACGTGATGCATGTTATTCTTTTTGCACTATTTTGCTTCTTTGTGATATATCTGCTGTCCAAGTTTTCACGGAGATAAAGGCGATCTTCTGCATTGTTTTGTTGTTTCCTGGTGCAAGTCTTGATGAAGATAAGAGAAACACACAATCTATTCAAGGCATCATACAAATGCTGCAAGGTTAATTTTTAGTGATTGGGGACAGCAAGGGTGCAACTATAGGAACTCCATATATCAGTCTTGTGTAAAGTTTCCCTATCTTTAGTAGCACTGAGGATTGTCATTAGTTTCTTGTGTTCTCTTTTCACTTTTTTTCCCCTTGTAATACTTGCTATATGACAATGATAATTGTGTGCTTATCCTAAAAAAAAGGTTGATTATTGTCAATGGAAGATGCTCTATACTTCATTTGTTTAAACAGCCGAGCCTGTTTTGCAGATGACGATGTTCGGCAAACAGTGTATGCATTTGATTTTAAACTCTTACCAAGTCTACCCTTAACAGAAGGCTAGCATACACATGCTTCTGAATCATTTTGTTGCTTGTTTGCTTGATAGCTGAGGCTTGCTCCGCTTTACTTGGGAGAAAATTTATACTCATTAATTCCAAACTATTTACCCTTTAATGCCCAGACCCAAACTATTTACTACTGCTACCCATGCTCCCCAAACTATTTACCTGCATTTCTTCTTCTTCCTCCTCATTTTACCTTCCTCACTTTATACCCATCGTATTTTTTCCTTCCAAACTTTATACAAGGATCTGGTGAAGCCCAGGTGCAAACTTTTTCCTTCCAAACTTTTCCTTCCTATATAAAAAATAATCCTTGTAAGGCTATCACCAGATGCAAGTCTTGAAGATTGTTGGGCTTCACCAGATCCTTGTATAAAGTTGTAAACATCGTATTTTTCCTATATAAAGACTTTCATCTGGCCATCACCTTTAATATCCACCATTGTTAGGCTTGAAGCTCAATTTTATTTTTGAAGATTTTTTGTTTGATTCAAAGTGGGTGCTATTAAATATTGCTAAGGCTGTATGGTGGGCCGGGCCCGGGCCTAAATGGGCTAAACGGGCCGGGCTAAACGGGCCTGGGCTTAGCGGTCCCGGGCTCTGGCGGTCCCGGGCTTCGCGGTCCCGGGCTTCGTGGGCTCAACGGGTAGGACCAGCCCGTGACGGGCCTAAGCCCATATGGTCCTGGGCTAAATGGGCCGGGCTCGTGGGCTTAGTGGGTCTAACGGGCTTTTTTTATTTCCGGGCTTTTTTTTTAATTTTTTTTATATTAAGGTCAATTTCTTGTAAACCATATGTGTATGTATATATATAAATTGCTCTTATGCATGGCTATATAAATATATGTAGTATATATAATATAGAAATCTAATTATTAAAGTGTTTGACGAAAATGTAAAATAACAAATCAATAGTAAAACTAAATTGGCATGCATAATAAATTAATAACAAAGTACAACATGAAGCATAAATACGNACTATATACTATACTGGTATCAAATGTTAGTTAATATTTTTTTGGTTGTATTAACTACATTTAATTGGTACACAATTTGATTTTTCTTTAGTAATAATATAAAAAAAAGAATAATAAAAATAATAAAAATAGGAAATGAAATTAGATTATTAAGAGAAAAAGAAAATAAAAAAAAGAAGTTAAATGAAATTAGAATAGGAAAAAAGAAAAAAATAAGAAGAAAACGGGAAAAAAGAAAAGGAGAAAGAAAAAGAAAAGAAAAAAGAAAAAAGAAAGAAACGAAGCATAGAAATAAAAAAGAATTGGAGAATAAAGAGAAAATTCCCCCACAAAACCTACTATGAGTAGGAAATGTAATTAATTTATGGGTAGAAAAAAAAATGGGTAGACAAGAGTAAATAGTTTTGTTTTGTGGGTAACTGTGTCAAAACCCCTTTACTTAGCCTAACTTGATCAATGACTCTTCTAGCCCATTATGCAAAATAGGTTTTGTTGTGACTTGTGTCCAACCCTGCCATCTTTATGAAATGAAAGCATTGCAAACATCTTTCGGGGATGGACACACCTCGCTTATTGGGTCTCAACCATGCACCTTGGTGTGTCATCCCTGATTGATTTGCCATCAGTGGGAGCCAAATGAAACCAAAGTTTCATGTTCGGTTTTGAATCAGAGACTTTAAAAATAACAAATCAACGTCGACTATAACCCTAGCCTTCCAAGCTAATGATGGGGGTTCGATTCTCGCCACCCTCTTTATATCTGTATATAATAAATATTTTATTCTATTCATTAAATCAAATTTAGTTTATTAATATTGGTAAATCATTGAATATACAATTCCAAAAATTCTTTTACATCCAATTCTTTCTGGGGTTTTTTCAAACAAAAAGTTAAGATATGAGGGGAAAACAATTAGAATGAAAACCGTCCATTGTCTAATGGGTCGGACAAAGGTCCCTTTTTTTTTTGGTAATTAATTGATTATTATTACCAGGGAACAAAGGTCTTCTTTATCTTTGTTATAGGTCACTCCTATAGGCCGCAAGTTATTTTCATTTATTTTAACTAGATTTCGATAGCAAGAGAGATTGTTTGAATATTTGAATCCAAGACGCTTGATTCCTTTTTTTTATTATTATTATGACTGGTCTTAGGGTACGTGCAAAATGTATCCTATATTCATAAATATACGATTTTGAGAAAATCTTTCTTTCTTTCTTATATATACTACATAATGTGTTTGAGTTTTAAAATAAAAATTAGAAAAAGTAATCTACCATCACATAAGTCCTCAAATGCCTTATTATTATTGTTTTCTCGTTTGCCCCCACCAATGTTGAGTTAATATTTTACAAGAAGTAATGTATAAAAAATATAGGGAGTTGCCATTCTTTATAATGAATGAAGAAAAATTACAACTCATATAGAATACGTTTTGTCTTCTAACGTTTTATCCTTATCGCTTCAAGTTTGCTCTATCTCTAATTTCTCTTTTCGCCAATATTTTATTTTGTAAAAATAAATTTATGTACCATATGAGTTTTACCAACTTGAAAAATAATTTTTCGTATATGAACAATTTTAAAAGAAGTGAAATGAACTTATTTTGCTATTAGTTCTAAAAACTTAATTATTTATTTTAAAAAATCGTTTATTTTTATTCATAGTTTAGTATGAAATCGTCTACAATTTTACATATTTAACTGTAGTTATAATTTTATCCAATAAAAAGCTACTCTTAAAGGGTAAAATATCCATCTAATATACTTTGGATCATCGTATTTGCAGAATTATTAGTGTTATTGACTCTTGTCGACCACGTCTCTTTATCTCTCGTTTAAACTCTAAAAATTTTTACTATAAGTTTCGGATTATTAATGATAATAAAATTATCATGTAACTTAAGAGTTATGTTAGTTAATCCTCCTTTTCAGCAAATCTTCTTATTCACTATTTTCTTTCATGTGTTTGGGAAGGATATACTTTTAAACACCTTGAGGTTTAACCTTTACATCACTAAAATTTAGGGGGTATACTGACTTTTCATCACCAAACATTATAAAGAATATTCATAAGCATTATGAAGTTCGAAGAGGAAGAGAAAATCGAGTGGTTGGTATAAAAGGGGCAACTTGGTAAGTAGTATATTTTAGAAATATTCATAAAGTTCAAAATATTGGGCTAGGGATTTATATATATTTTGAGTTGCTACACATTAGTAGTTTTTACTTAGTTAAAATATAGAAAGCATTAATGATCAACCTATTTTTAAAATTTCGAACTCATAAATATTAGGATTCCAAATTCCTAAATATTAGGAAAATAACCTAAATAACAATTTAGTCCAGTATGAAATCAACTTTGTTATTTTTTGTTTCCTTGTTCGTCATTATATCCAAACTCATTTTTCTCATTTGAACTGATGATATAATAATTTTGATTGAATATTTCAACCAAAGGAGAAGATAATATATCTTGATATTCTCGATCATTCTTTGATCCAAAGAAAAATTATTAAAATGTGTGCAACTTAGTTTGGTGATATTCAATATTCACGATTGTTAGTAGATCTTAATAAATAAGGAATTGAATTTAATTTTTTTATTTTCTTCTTTGGATATGAATTTGACTAAAGATTATTTTACGAAATTTAGATAAAAAAATAAGTTATATAAGTTAAAATTTTATTTGATGTTGAATTTCTAAATATTAGAACTCCCTCTGAATAATCCAAATAAATAAAGATCAATAGCAAAATGTTAGTTAATTTTAAAGTTTTTATGTTATAAATATAATTTGAATGATATAATAACTAACATAAAATATAACTTACATGTTATCCATCATTAATGATTAAAAGATTTATATTAAAAATAGAGAATTTATAAGTCAACTGAAACTCGTTGTGCACACGTAAAAATTTGGATTAACATTGAAAACATGCTAATGATTCCTACAAAAATTAAAACGAAGGCAGAAACTTGCAAAAGTCCTTTGTTATAATTCCAAAAGTGTTAAAACTTGTAAAAATGAAAGAGTCAAATTTGAGGAAAATAGTTACACGATTTAAATAAGGAAAAAATATTTATAAGTAAAATTTTATTAGTCACGCTGAGGTCTTCGAGGAGTTGCATAAGAAAAAGAAGAAGGATGGTACAAGAGAACACTGGGTGGAGACGCATGCGTCAGACACATATGTAAAATTCTAACTTTATAGTTATTTATGGTTTATTAATTAGTTTGTTTACATAATAGCTATGTTTTTCATTTCAGGAAGATTATCATAAAAGGTTGGAAGAATGGCAACAAACTCAGCCTGCTTTAACTCAACCAACACCTGATGATATGGCTTCATTGCGGACAGCAAGGGGTGGAGTAAACAAAGGCAGAGTCTATGGACTAGGAGTACGTCGACCTATAGGTCATCCAAACTCACTCTTAGCCAATTCTTCTTCTTCTCAAAATCAAGAACAAATGGAAGATATGAGAAACGAAATTCATGATTTGAAGCAACAATTGGACTCCCAGTATAGAACATTTGTTAAGATGTAGAAATTCATGAGAAAACATGGCATGATTTATCAGATGATGAGGATGAACAAACTGAATCTGATGTGTAGTAGTTTAGTTGTGATGTTTTGGTTGATTGGTAAACTTGATTGTGAGAGACAACTTTATGTATTGTTTTAAACTTGAATGTGGGCTACTATTTTGATGTTTTTATGCCCAAAATTGTTAGGTTTAATGGTGTAAAAATAGCACGGTCTAGCCAAATTTTGTACTGGTCATTCAAAAATAGCCAGCGTTTACCAAGTCAATAAAAAATAACCACTATTTTGCTGCAACAGAGACCGGTCCAACATAATATACTGGAGTTCGGTGCACCTGTGTATGAATTTCCAGCATATTATGATGGAATTCCAACATACGGAAAGTTTCAGCATAATATACTGGAGATTCGAGCAC